GAGAGGATTATTCTGGATTCCCTTCCATCTCTAAAGCCTGTGATCCTTTTAAGTCTAACACAGACTGACAAATTGGATTGTTACATAGTTCCTACTCACCCCACATATGCAATCCCTTGCCAAATCTTGCCCTTTTGACAAGACATATGTCTCCTCTTCACTCATACAGCCAAAATCTAGTTCAAGTCCTCGTTGGCTTTGGCCTAGACTACTGCAACAGCCTTCTTAACCCATACCTCAGTTGTCTCCCTCACTCCAATCCACCTTTGACTTAGCAGCCATGACAATTTTCCTAAAGCATAGGTCTGACAGTGTCTACTCCCTATTCCTGTTCAATGACTTCAAATGGCTCTCCATTCCCTCCATGATCAAATACAAAATACTCTGGCTTTTAGCACCTAGCCCCTTCCTACCTTTTCTGTCTTCTTACACTTTTCTTCCTTCCACGCACAATATGATTCAGCCACGATGGCTTACTTGCTGTTCCTCAAACCCAGTCTTCTGTCCCCTACGCCTAAAATGCTCAGCTCCTTCACCTCTCCCTCTTACTTCACTTGACTTCATCTCAGGTCAAAGCTGATCTTCTGCAAGAGGCCTTTCCTGGTCTTCCCCCTTCCCCCTCAGCTTCTAATGCCTTCCATCTCAGATTGCCTTCCTTTTACTGTGTATAGCTTGTAAGTATCTAGTTATTTGCATGTTGTCTCCTTTAATAGAATGTAAGCTCTTTGAAGATCTTTATTTGTATCCCTAGGATTTAGCACAGTGCCTGGCACATAGTAAGACCTTAATAAATTTTTACTGACTGACTGATTTATTGAGCTCACTGAGAACAAAGAGGGACAGTCATCAACTTAGATACAAGGAACCATGGAGTAACCTTAGTACTCTGGTGAATTTAAAGAAGTCAAACTTCCCTAGTAGCTTCTAGAACTAAAGGTGACATATTATTAAAGACATTTTCCTGAGATCGGTAAAGATAGCTTCAAGGTCTTGACATTGTTTTTAGCACTCCTCCTCTACTGCCTGGCATCAAGGACTATATTTGCTGTACCAGGCTGTGTCTTAAAGGTACACTGATAGTCCAAGAACAAATAGCTGTTGTTGAGTAGCTGGTCTAGGAGGGACTCTGGAGCCTAGCTATTCTGATGGGCAACTGCCTCGTCAACCAGTGTTTCAGGGAAAGCCCTCATTCTCCAGTTTTCTCTTCTATAACCTATCCACTATGCTAACTCAAGTACTTTCCCTGCCATTCCAGGTGTGGAATCATGAATCATGATCAATAATTCAACACTACCATAGTTCTTGGTTGGGTGATATCAATCTATTCACCTATAACCCTACTCACCATCCCTGTAATTTTCTAGACCAAAGCGCTCCTCCCTAGCGATTGTTCCTCCATGTTTTGGAGATAATATTTTTTTAAAAATGCTTAGCATGGTGCTTGAAACATAGTATATAATTATTTATTCTCTTCCCCTCTTCTTCCCCCATCCCTTTTAGATTATATGCTCCTTGAGGCCAGGGATTATCCTTGCTTTCATATTTGTATCCACAGCATTTGACACAGGGCTTGGGAAACTAGTAAATGGTGGATAAATTTATTCATCCCATTCATTCATTCATTTATTCATTTCTTCTAATGTCTCCTCAATTCTAAAATTCTGCCATTTCTATGGTTCTATATATTTTTTGGGAAAGTAAAATGAAGATGAATACCTGTTTGGACCCAGTAGTGTAGCTGACAGCTCAGAAAGTTATTTCTAAAGCTCATCCAATCCCAAGGCTATGAGTCTATGATCAGACTCAAGTTTGACTTAGGATATTGACACAAAAACAAGGAAGTGATGACTAAGCAGTTAATTTTGATTCTTTGCAGAGGAAACTAGTCCAATATAAAGAAAATAGTGGAAGAGGAAGAGAGGAGATGCCTAATTCTTTTCACCCTAGGTTGAACATTTCCCCCTTTTGTAAATATCTATTAGTCAGTTGTGAGCTAGCAATCAAGTCAACTGTGGCTATAAATAAGGTCTGGTGTTAGAGAGAAGATTCAGCGTACTCCATTAGTCACTGCTCTACACAACAGAATAACAGAACATATTTGGTTGCAGTCTGGGACACATGCAGTTCACAAATACACAAAGCCTTTTTCTTAAGGAAGAAAATGTCTGCCTTACTTTCAAGGGATCATCCTAGTATTCTAAACATTCCTTTGAAAGACAAAGAAATTTCAAAATGTTTGATTTCCCCCATCCCTCAAGGTTATCATTCAGTTTTTTTTTTTCTGGTCATGTTTTCCTTCCAAGTCTTCCCAATTTATCTTCCTGCTGTTGCTGTAGATAAAACTATTTTTAGTTTGGAGGCAGACATTTTTGTTTCACAATCTCTGCTGGTTGGCACATTTCTATGCCTCTCACACCTCTGATTCTGGGCTGACAGAAATTACTCCTTATTTCTTTAGGCACAACTTTAGTTAAGAGGCAATCACAGTTTCGAAGTGACAGTCATCAAACAAATGAAATCCCAATAATAACCCAGGCTGGATACATCATTTTTTGGTACCTGATTCAGAGAATTCATGATTCCCCATCAGCTGTTAACAACTATTTCTATTCTGCTTGAGTTTCCATCCTATCAAAACACAGAGTCTTCCCTATCTCCCCTTATCACACTTGACATACTGCTTTTGATAAAAACCATAATTCCACTTGCTAGTAACATCGTATTGTCCCAGTTTCACTTCTTATCCAGTATCACAAAGGAAAGCAGTCAGCACTGACAAACCTCCAAGTAAAGTTGCTTTTTCAGCTCTCTGATCTATAAAGCTGAAACAAAAAAAAAATTTATCTTTGTTCCCCTTGAAGTAAACAAAATTTTCTCTTTCTTCCATTTAACCATTCCAATACTCAATAAAGTGATTAATGGTATATCCAGTGTCCTTTTCCCACTCAGAAATGGCACCTTTTCAGACTGAGGCATTAGAAATTCATAATTAGAGCTGGCAGCCTTGGAAGAAAGAAAATAACTGGAAAGTTGAGATGTCTTCTTTCCAGATTAACTGATGAGCACAAAACTGGGAGCTGTATTCGTTGGGAGAGTTGGAAGCCACCAAAACTATGTGATTCTAGCAGTATCCAAAGTGACCAAAGATGTGAATGCTATTTGACTGCAAAGGCAAGGCCTTCCTTAAGGATGTTTCTGTCATGCCACACTAAGAGCATAAGCTAATTTATTTACTAGAGAATTGTTCTGGTTATTGAGGAGAGCAAGCATTTGAAGCAGTCGATCAGTTGCTGGTCACATTTCTATCTACCCATAGTTTTGTGCTGTAGACTAGCCTTTGTGAAGCTTAATTATTCCACTGTCTTAATTGTGTCCTAATTAACAAAGATCTCCCCAAAGTTGAATGAACACATATCTTTGTATAAAGACCATTATTATCAAAAGCCTTAATGGCCCAAATTGAGATCCTGGATTTTGAAGTTAAAAATCAGATAAAGTCCTTTTAATCTATGTATCTAGCTGGATTTCAAAAGCAAGAAGAAAAATTAGGTAAGATGTCAACAAGTTCCCTACTCAAACCCTGCCCCCCCAAAAAGAACCTTAAACGGCTCAAGGCATTGAATGCCATTAATATCTTTCTGGTGGTATGAAAATTAAAACAGACATACCTATAAGAGTAAAAACTTCAGAGCAAACAGGAAATACCAGACTATCCAAAGGTAGTTCTGGTTTGGGTGGTAATTTGGCGGTAATCGATTAGATTGTAAACTCCTTGAGGGCAAGGACGGCCTTCTGCCTCTTTTTGTGTCCCCAGCACTTAGCACAGTGCCTGGCACATAGTAGACCCTTAATAAATGTTTATTAATTGAGTAAGAGTAATAATATAAACATAACCAATGATGGCCTCTACTATATAGGTACATACACATATATGTACACAAAAAAACGTACATATATTAGGATAAGATAAAAAATCATTAGACAGCTGACTTTTTTTGGAGGGAAGGGTGCAGTTTTGACTTCTAATGATTAACATTATCACTAAATATTAAAAGACTAATTTCTAAATTAATTTCTCTAATATGGAGGAAAGCTCCCTCAAGAAAACAGGAAATACTCAATTTTGAAAATAATAATAGCAACTGCCACTTAAGTGACACTTTAGGAATCTGATTTACATGCATTATTTCAAGATACATAAAAATGGTTTCTTTACGCGCCTTGTGGAGATGGTACCCAAAGCTCAGACCTTTAAGAATCCACATAGAATTACTGGGTTTTTTAAGTAACTCAGAAGGAAAAACAGCGACTTCCACTAAGTGAAGTCAGAGGAAATAGAATCAACTGGCTCTCGGATGGGCTTTTCTCCATTTTGTTAAGCACCATATAAAGGAGTTATTTTAAAATAAGGACCATAGTTACATAGAAGGAGCCTTTCCACCTTCCCTATATCTCCCTTTTTAAAGGCAGCTCTAGAAAAAGTATTAAAGGTCAATTGACACCGCAATAATCCTTTTAGTTCAATCAATGGCCAAAACAAAGTTAGGCATTTTCTTGATAGCTTTGCCTTTGGATCCTAAGCCAGCTAAAGTGATTAAAAAGATCACGCTTGTTTCTTAAGCAGATGCCATCCTCTCATCCTAGGCTTAAGAGGGGCAAGAGAGAGGAAGGTGAGCAAGGAAGAATCAGCGAGCACCACGTTAAATACCAGGTCTTTTTTCCCTCTCCCGGGGCCTCTTAGGTCTGGGTGGTTTGCAGAGTTGAGAGCAGGTGGGCTTGTGAAGGGGCTGAGCTTGGCTGGGTGGAGCGAAGGCAGGGGGTCTCGGACAGGAAGTGGGCAGAAAGTTGAGCGATTCTTTGGCCCACGGCTGGCGCGCTCCTGGGAGCAAGGGCTTAACTACCCAGGAGCGGGGAGCCGAGCGCCTTTAGACTGGGCTACTGAGGAGAAAGGCGGAGAGCAGTGGGGCTCGCTCGCTCCCTCTCCTCCTGCTGCTACTCACCCTCTTGCTTGGACCCCCAGAGGACGCGGCCCCGTTGCCCGAAAGCAGGGTGACCGCGGAACCGTAGCGCAGCATCCTCCAGCTGTGCCGTGGGGCGCGGAGGGCGGGAGCGAAGCCGGAGTGTCTTTTGGGTTCGAATAACGCTTCCCAGGCCCTAGGCTGGCAGTCTGTCTGCCCTTCTATCTGCCCTCCCTCTTTCGTCCTCCTTGCCTCCTCCCTCGGTCCTCGTCACTGTTCCCGCTCCTCCTCTCCTCAAGCTACCCCGGGGGAGTGTCCGCAGCCCGCCGAGTCTGCAGGGAACGACCCACTCCCCAGAGGCCGCGCCAAGCGAGCTGTGTGTGGCCAGCTGTGGTCGCGGGGCGCCCGGGTGGAGGAGTGGGCGGGTAGACAGGGAGGGAGCGCACCTCGGGGAGGAAGAAGCGAACTCCCAGGTCGTCCGACCTGTCCGCCAGCATTTTCTCTTTCTGGCTCTGACTCGGTGTCTCTATGCAGGGGCGGTCAGTCCGAGTTTGGGTAAGGAAAGGCTGAATCGCTCCCTCTAGGCCAGTGCAGAGGACTCCTTCCTCTGCAGACACCTTAACACAGCTGGGTGAGGGAACCCTCTGAGACCCCCTTTCTAGCACTGGAGATAGGAACTGCTTCTGGCACAACATTAAGTCATTCAACAAACGTTTGTTATGCACCTGTTGTGCGCAAAGCACAGTTCTAGGTATTGAGGAAAATGGGGAGTTTAGATAATATACAGCCAGCCCCCTGGACTAATAGTAAGAGGAGAAAACACAAACATAACTATCATACACTATTAAATGATCGTTGCTTTAGAGAGTGCTATACGAGATGGGCAGGATGTCTTCCTCAGTCACTGCCCCCTAGTTTTGAGGAGGGAGATATCCATACGACCCCCAATCCCTGAATCTCATGTGTCCTTTATGATTCTCCAAATGTGGTTTTGTGAGGGTGGGGACACAGGGCCTTCCACCTGGGTCTCATTTTCCCCCGCTCGTCAAAATGGGGTCAGGCTATTAGTGAGATTCCATTGGTTAATTGATATCTACTAAGATACTTACCATGAAAGAGGTTAATGATTATTGTCTTGAAGTATGGGCAGCTGTTCTAAGGAGGAAGGAAGTGGGTTGTGGCCCAGACGAGGACAAAATAAACTGGCATCTATTGTTTGTTTACATTTTGGTGACCACTGGAGAGTCTCTGGAATGTTTTGGTAAAGACAAAGGAGGCAATAGATCTACATTTTATCTTGGGGTCCCATTTGGCCATTGCAACCTAATAGGTTTTCATGCTCCCTCCCAAAGGCGTTGCTCTGCAAATGTGCTTTGTAACAAATATAAAAACCTTTCCTACAAATCTCAAGAACAAAATCCAGAACTCTTGCTACTGAAAAAGATGTCCCAGATAATCTCACTGACGGAGCTCTCAGAGCACTTTGCCAGCCTGTGTGACAAGAGCCCTAGGGCTCATGCTAGGGAATGAAGGGCTTTGGGCCCTTTGATTACTCAGTCAACTCCCAAAGTATTATGATGCCTCTCTGGGTTATGTCATGTTCCAGCCAGGCCAACACTGGAAAGCATATTTAGCAATATTGGAGGAAATCCAAGAAAGAGAAGAATGGAGAGCAAACAGGAAAGTGGAAGGGGGGGGTGGGGAGGAGAGAGGAAGCACACTGGAGCTGGGAAAAAGAAAACAATAGTATATGTTACTGAACTGAGAGGAAAGTAGAAAACTGAATAGTTCATCTCAATGACACACGTCTAGGAATAATTCTGAAAGTGAAGTAATGAATTTATATATCTTTATATATATCTTTATATATATTTATATATCTTTAAGAATAATCAAAGATCTCTGTATATATAAATCTAGAGCTGTAAGGGACATTAGAAGTCATTTAATCCAATTTCCTCATTTTACAGATGAGTATATTGAGGCCCAGAGAGGTTGAATGCAAATCACACAGGTAGTTACTGACAGAGCCAGAATTTGAACCCAGTCTAGACTAGGTAATAGCAATATAACTCTAAATAGAAAGAAAAGGAAAACTGGTCATATGTAATATGAAAATCTATATAACTGATCTATGAAAAACTTTTTAGAATGAGAAGCTTCTTGAGTCAAGGCTCTATGATATTTTTGTTTGTATCCGTTGCCTCTGCCACAGGTACCCTACACAGAGAAGGCATTTAATAAATGTTTGTTTAAATGATAGCTTGATAGAGTAAAATATGGTGTTGAAGGATGGAAATGAGAGAGGAAGATAGGAATGTCCAGGCTATACTCCTACAGATTTATCCATCCCAGTGCTGAATACCTTCTTTCTCCCCTCCATTCCCCACTCTTTTCAATTTCTTTTAATGTGTCATCTTCCCATTAGAATATAATCTCCTTGAGGGAAGGAACTGTCTTTTTTATTTTATTTTTATCACAGCACCTAGCATATGTTAAATGCTTAATAAATACTTGTTGACTGACTAAAGAAATTAGTAAAATCTTCTTGGAGAATACTGGACCTTGAAAGATATATAGGTTTTACATTGAGTAGAGTGGAGGCCATATTTAAACTATCCTCAGAAGTAGGGGAATCCAATTATTTTTAAAACGTTCCACTAAAGTACATACCATGACCTCCTCCTATCACCCAAAAAAAGCACAGAAATTTGAAGAGACTTTATGGACCATTTGGTCAAACCTCTCTATTTTACATACAAGGAAACTCAAAACCAGGAAGTTAAGTGACTTTTCCATAATTATAACAAAAAAAAAATTAGAGATAAAGTAAAAACTAGAACTCAGGTCTCCTGATTCTCAGTCTATCACTCCTTCCATTAAGGTTCTTTGATTCCCTTGCTTCATAATTTCAATTACAGTTAGTTTCCATGTTCTATAGTTTCCGTATTCTGTAATTTACTTCCTATTCACTCAAGGGGTCTTTCAGTTGCCTGGCTAGTTTCCCGTAGCCCTATTCCAGAATTCTTCATCATGTAACTGGACTTTTAAGCACTTTGGCCTTTTTTCCTTCACTGCTACCTCTCCCTGAACAGTAGGGATAAGGAAGGGCAAGGTATGGAAGAGAGTTAACTTTAGTATGAACAGTAGTGACAGCAACAGGAAAAGCCACCACAGGGTAATCATGGCTGGAGATCTTGAACTATCAAAGCTAGTAGAATCATACATACACATAAGACTTAAATTCTTCCTTATATCTATTTTAAATTCCTCTGCTTCTGCTTAAACCCAAGAGATGACCCAAGTCAGTGACAGGCAACTTTCACCCTAATCAAACAAGTAACAAAGGGGTTTGTATTTGGTTCTGACTTTGATAGAGAGGGAGTTTACCTGCCCTCTATGCAAAATACTTTCATATTAGCATTCCAGTACATTCTTGAATGTACCTTGAATGTTACCTTTCAGGCTTCTCTTTCCACACTAAGTAATCTCAAATTCTTTAACCTTTCCCAACAGGCTCTTATTGCTAGCCCCTTAATCATTTTAAACTTTTTTTTTTTTGGGAGGGGAGCCAATCAGGGTTAAGTGACTTGCCCAGGGTCACACAGCTACTAGTTAGTATCTGAAACTGGATTTGAACTTCTCCTCCTGACTCCAGGGCTGGTGCTCTATCCACTGTGCCACCTAGCTGGTCCTATTTTTTGTTACTTTTTACTGAACTCTCTCCAAATTCTTGTGTTCCTCTTAAATTGGGTGCCCAAAAGTATTCTGGTGAGTTTTCAGGAAAGAGCCAAATATAATGTGGTTATTGGCAGAAACAATCAGGGATCAATTCATTGGATGTATACTACTGCTAAGCACACACACACACACACACACACCAGTTAAGAAGAACTGAGTTCAGATCCAGGCTCAGACACTTACTAGCTATATGACCTTGTTTGCTTCAGTTCCTCATCTGTAAAATGAGCTGGAAAAGGAAATGGCAAACCACTCCAGTATCTTTGCCAAGAAAACCCCATGGACAGCATCGTTCACAGAGCCTCAATGAGTGGCATACAACGGAATAGCAACAACAGCAACATACACACACAGGCTTAGGACTCTTCATAATGTTTTGTTTGCACTTCTCTGATATACTTATGTTCTGTTTTTTAAAATTGTAGCCTTTTACATATATAGTATATCATAATATGCTTGTTTTATATGTAATTATTAATATATTACAATATACTTTTCCTATAGTATATTAGCTCCACTGCTAGACTGTAAATTTGTCTTATTTATGTCTGTAAATCCCTCAACGTATAGCACATTGCTTTGCCCCTAGTGGGTTTTGGGAAGAAATGAACAAGCATTGACCATTTCTGCATTTTGTAACCTCTTTTCTAGTATCTCTAAAGTTTCTCTTGTCCTATCAGCTGGGAAACTGGAACATTTGTCCCAAATTCCTGCTACATTCATCTCTCCTGAACACCAGGAAAAGAATAACCATTTGTAACAGGACAGAGAAAACATTTTCAACACTTTGACAAGGATATTGAATTACAAAGACAGCTTTTTTTAAAAAATAAAGTGCAACAAGAAACACTGAACATTCACAAGGAGTTAGAGAACCAGAGAACATGACCCAAAGATAAGGAAAGCAGGCTGAAAGTAACCAAATACACCCAGCTAACCCAGTGAGATCTACAGTATTACCTAAATCTGGCTAGACACACAGGATGAAACTTGGCTAAACTACACTGGTAAATGCAAGACCCACTGAAAATAATCCGGGTCCCTGCAACAGTTAAGAATGTGAACAAATGGGCAACAGCAAAGAGTAATAGAGGATGTTGCTCGAAAGAGATCTACTGTCTTAAAGAAGAATTCTTTAAGTTGCAGATGGAGTGACTGTACAATCCTCATTTGGAAACCCCAAATAAGTATAGTCAAGGCAGGGAATGGAAGAATGGATCACAGGATCAAAGATTAAGAGCTGGCAGATACCTCACAGACCATCCAACCTCCTTCATAATAGCTGGTTATATCTTATTTGATCCTCACGACAGCCCTGGGAAGTAGATGCTGTCCCCATTTTACAGATGAAGAAACTGAGACTGAGAGAAGTTAAATAACTTAACTAGAGTCACAAAGGAAGGGAGTATCTGACACAAGATTTAAATTTGGGTCTACCTGTATCTAAGTTCTATACTAGAACAACTGTGATACCTTCACAAATGAGGAAAGTGAGGCCTAAAAAGGTTAATTGATTTTGTCAGGGTCACACAGCTATTAAGTATCTGGCATTGGAACTTGAACCCAGTGCCTAAAATCTAGTTTGATAAGGGAAG